CAACGTCATCATACCCAGGGTCCCCCTTTTCCCACTGATCCAGCCAGGGGCTCTCTTCTCCTTTCCCAGGATCAGCTGCCTCTCTAGGAAAGTTCAGAGAAGAGTCTGAAATAGTAAAGACAAGTTTGATTAGAACTGTGACAAAGGGACACTGGGCTATGCCCTGTGGCAGAAGCAAGTCAAGTAAGTGGTAATGACATAAGATCCCTGGGGACTCAGTTACACTCAGGGAGACTCAAACTATTTCATATTCATTACAGTAAGGAAATATCAGGCTCTCCTATCAAGATCCAGTCCACGTGGGTCTGTGGCCTCAGTTTAGCTGAGAATCCCTGGATCACAGTTGATCTGAGGCCAACAGGAACCCTCTGAAGACCTGTTTCCTGGCTTACACAGTCCACAGGAGATGGCTCAGGAAAGGTAAGACTCTCTAGAAGGGATGGGAAATTTTCGTTTTTCACAATTGACAGGTCTAAATTCAAACAGAAATGGAGACAGGAAATCATATCTGGAAAAATCTCAGCTCCTCACTGACAACCCAGTTCTGCTCTTGGTGGTCTTGACTTGTCTTTCCAAATGCCCCAAAATAAAAAAAAAAAACCCACAGGATCCTCCGACCGTTGGCCCTTCCCCAGAAATTACATGGGACCTCAGATGGAGAAACGCCGTCCTCTGGAGAATGAGCGTATTCACTTGACCATTGAAGTGTCTGGGGCCCATTAGCCACGGGCTGTCCGCAAATTCTGAGTTGGTAATCCACCACTATGGCTTTGTGTTTTAAGGTCACCACATACCATAGAGTTTGTACAGATTTGGCTTAATATATGATCACAGCACATCATAAAATACAAAAATGCTTCACAAATTCCAATCTTAAAAGTTTGTTTAAATCTCTAACTGCATTTCACAGTGACACAGCATAAAAGTGTTATCACAACAGTTGTTCCATTTTTGGATTTGGTAAATACACTTAACTAGTCTACAAATCTTAATGCAAATACATCAAAGATGTAGTTACAGAGACACAAGTAGCAAGAATACACACTGATTCCTCCCTCCCAAGGAGTCTGTCGGCATTACAGACAGG